TGATGGTCAACCAACAGATAAACTGACTATAAGTGTCTTTGCAAGCACGTCAACTTATTCTACCATACTAGATTCTACCATTCTTGAGCAGTTCAAGAAGAAACAAATATATACATTATGGAGGTCGCGAAGTCTTCAGGATTCCACTCCTTCAATATGATTCTGGGGCAGCATGTTTCTTCTTGTGGGTCTGAAAACCCCATTTATAAGCGAATCTCTCGCCGCAGATGGAGCAGCGGTAAGGTTTCTCTCCTGTATGATGTCGCTCATGGACATTCTTGGCACTTGCTCGAGCAAAAGTCTTGTCACAATGTGAGCATTTAAAAGGTTTTTCTCCTGTATGAGTCCTCCGGTGTATTTTTAAGTCACTTGGCTTATAAAAACTCTTCCCACAATCACTACAGGAATACGGTCTTTCTCCTGTGTGAACTCTCCGATGAATCCTGTACGAAAATGAACTAGCGAAGCTCTTCCCGCAGTCGGAGCACAGGTACGGTTTCTCTCCGGTGTGAATCCTCTCATGGGTTTTACGGTGAGTCGAATGATGGAAACGTTTCTCACAGTGTGAACATTGATACGGTTTGTCAGAGTGTATTTTCTGGTGTGCCTTTAGAGAAGTTGAGTTTTTATAGGTTTTTCCACATTCACTGCACTTGTATGGCCTCTCATTGCTGTGCGTGAGTACATGTTTTTCCAGAGCTGATCTGAGACTGAAGCTCTTCTCGCAGTGAGGGCACTGATGCAGTCTCTCATTGCTGTGCGTGAGTAAACGGTTTTGTGGTCTCTCATTGCTGTGCTTGAGTACATGTTTCTTTAGATCTGAATTGAGGTTGTAGCTCTTCTCGCAGTGAGGGCACTGATGCGGTCTCTCATTGGTGTGCATGAGTAGATGGTTCTTCAGATGCGTTCTCTGGGTGAAGCTCTTCTCGCATTGAGGGCACTTGTACGGCTTTTCACCCGTGTGGATCCTCTTATGAATAGAAAGATTACTAATGCTGCGGAAAAACTTGTTACATTCGTTGCACTGGAAAGACTTTTCCTCGTGTGTCTTCATATGAACTTTCATATTATAAGGAGTGGTGAAAAAATCCTTCCCACACTGTTCACAGCGAAACTCCTTCTTCACTTCGTGCTTTTTTGAATGACGTTTCCTCTCTTTGAAGGTAGGAAAACTGATGTTGCATCTCTTGCAAGTGAATTCTTTCTGTTCTGTGTGTTTTTTCTTATGTCTCACTAAATGACCGTGTTTGCTGAATGTCTTTCCACAGTCCGTCACTGTCCATCGCTCTTTGGAAGTGGAGGCAGTTTCTCCCTCAGAAGATGAACCAGCGTTGTCATCTGAAAGGAACAAAATCTGCATAAATATCTAACTACTTCTTTAACTTCTAGAGCTGGACGATCAGTCAAAATAAAACTAAACGTGTGACATGTCTTAATGCAGTTGTCAAACTGCAAAGACTGTGATTTAAAAGGTTAGTTCACCCAAAAATGAAAATTAGCCCATAAATTACTCACCCTCAAGTCATCCTAGGTGACTTTCTTCTATCAGACGAATCTAGTCGGAGTAATATTAAAAAATGTCTTTGATCTTTCAAGCTGTTTAATGGCACTCAGCGGGTGTTGCAGTGCATCAGTCCAAAAGAAGAGAAATAAAAAGCGACCATCCATAATAAAAAGTGTCTCACATGACTCCGGGGGGTGAACAAAGTCCTCCTGTATCGAATCGATGCGTTTTTGTAAGAAAAATAACCATATTTAAAACGTAATAATCACTTTAATCTAGCTTGCGCTCACTGTT